GGTGAGGAGACAGCCTGCAAACTGGCATGCATGAACTGAGGGCAGGATAAAGTGGACCTGAGGGGGATAAACATGCTGTCCATAAACCTCTCGAGAGTCGCCACAGAGGGAAGAGAGATCCCTTTGGGTGCTCCAGAAGGTAAAAGTAAAGATACTGGGAATGGGGTCGGGCTTGTTTCCTTGTCCATCTATCCATGTGTCCAGCGCTTAGGGAGTTTGCTTGGAGTTGGGTTGCAGGGCATGACCACACAGCTTGAGAGGGAGAATTATACATATCCGCAGAGTCTTTGAATGCAGAGGATTCAGTGTTACCATGGGGATAACGTGGGCGGGTAGGAGAGCCTGGAGGAGGGGCAGGTAACTAGACCAGGCATGTAACTAGGATTTGAAGGGGTCAGGGAATGATGATGAAGTAAGGGTGTGGGTAGGATTTAGCCAGGGTGATAGATTTTGGCTTATATAAGGAAAAATACCCAGATAGAATGGGTTCTCTTGGGCAGGTCTGGCCTGTGTGGGAGAGCAAGCCATGCCCTTAACCAATGCTAGCTACTCGGAGCAGTCTCCTTCCAGATGCTTCCCCAGCCACGGAAGAGCCAAGATAGGATGGGTGGCCGGTGTTCCGCTTATGCCTCCAGATGACTTGGCAGAACATGGGCATTGTCTGTGTGTGTCCTGGTTGTTCCTGTTATGGAAGCCCTAGGTTAACAGCCTTCCTCACACCTCTTCTGCATACAGCCTCTTAACACTTGGTAGGGAAGTAGGGAACCTACTGAGCCTTAACAGGCATCACCACTCAGAACATAGTTCCCTCCGGGGAGAGCAATCAAGATGGTGAAGTAGTACGATGGGAAGCTCACCTCCTCCCACAAATACATCAAAGTATATCCACGTGTGGGATGGTTCTCACCAAACATCTATTGAGCCCTGGCAGAAGACCTCAGACCCCTGAAAGAGCGAGAAAATCTCCACATAACTGGGTAGGATGAAAGAAAAAGGGGAGGGGAAGGAATCCAGATGGGACCTGTGCTCTTGGAAGGAAGCTGTGAGAGAGGAAAGGTTCCCGCACCCTGAAGTCCCTTCATCAGCAGAGATCAGCCAGGATATAAGGGAGCTTCAGGGCCTCGGAGGAGAGCACAGCCATAAGTCGGCAGCTGCTGGAACCGACAGAGACCCGTACAGACAGACAGTGCCATGGCTGTGCACCCCCCAGCCTGACAGGTGTCCACTGGCATGTCCACAGCCCAGGGGCCGGGTGCAGAAGCTTGGGCTTCGGAGATGAGACTCCACTAGAGGACTGAGGTGAACTTCGTGGAAACAGCCTGAAGGGGTTGGGGTCTGGTGGCACTGCACCTGAGGCCGTACTCGGAGGACGCCTGGGCCACCTTTGAGGGCAGGCACCATTGTGTGGGCAGTGCGTGAGGGGAGGGGCGAAACCCACTGTTATAGCCTTTATCACTGCATCAGCTCTCAGGCAGCAAGACACCATCTAAAACAGGATCTGTCACAAACTTTGAAAGCTGCTGCCCCCTTGGATGCAGGAGTCATCTCTAGCTGCTGACTTCGGCCCTTCTGGGCTCCAGGAGACATTTCTCCAAAGAAGAAATGGCCAATAGGCATGTGAAAAGATGCTCAACATTGCTAATTACTAGGGAAATACAGATTAAAGCTATGAGGTACTACCTCACACTGGTCAGTATTCTATTCCTCATAAAACTTAAAAACAATTACCATATGACCCAGCAGTCCCATTCCTGGGCAAATATCCAGACAAAACTAATCCAAAAAGATACGTGCACCCCTTTGTTCACAGCAGCACGATTCATGATAGCCAAGACATGCAAACAGCCTGAATGTCCAGTGACAGATGAGTGGGTAAAGATGTGCATATATACAATGGAATACTATTCAGCCATCAAAGAGAACAAAACGATGCCATTTGCAGCAACATGAATGGACCTTGAGATTATAGAAGGCAGAGAATGACAAATACCTTAAGACATCACTTACACGTGGAATTTAAAATATGACAAACGAAGGCTGTAGGTCCCTCAGTTTATCCAACTCTTCAACCCCACGGGCTGTAGCCCACCAGGTTCCTGGGTCCATGGAATTCTCCAGACGAGTAATGGAGTGGTTAGACATTCCCTTCTCCAGGGGATCTTCCCGACCCAGGGACTGAACCTGGGTCTCCTGCATCGCAGGTGGATTCTTTACCCTCTGAGCCACCAGGGAAGCACCTTATGAGAAAACGAACCCACCTACAAAACAGAAACAGACTCGTGGACATAAACTCAGCCATAAAAAATGAAATTTTGCCATTTGTAACAAGGGTGAATTTGGAGGATACCATGCTTAATGAAATAAGTCAGAGAAAGACAAAGGTATGATAGCACTTATATGTGGAACCTAAAAAGTAAACTAGTGAATATAACAGCAAACATACTCTTAGATCTAGAGAATAAACTGGTGGTTACCAGTGGGAGGTGGTGAAGGACAAGCCTGGCGTGCCGCAGTCCATGGGGTCGCAAAGAGTCTGACGTGACTGAGCGACTGAACAAGTGGGAGAGGTAAAGGGTAGGAGTTTAAGGGGTGCCAACTGCTGTCGATAAACTGCGAGGAGGACAAACTGCAGGATCGTGTCGCGCGCAGGGAGTGCAGCTGGTGTTCTGTACGTGAGGTGTAACCTTTAAAAGTTATGAGCCACTATGTTGTACACCTGAAACATACATCCGCTATACCTCAGTTTAAAATATTTAAGAAATAAAAAAATAAAAAATATTTAAGAGAAAAATTCTAAAACTATCCTAAAAAATTAAAGTCTTTTAATTAAAAGAGCACTTAAAACACTAAGTACTAGCTTTCTACCCAAGTGACGTGTAGATGCTAAATGAGTAAAGCTGAAGAAGACGTGGTCATGGGTCTGAAATCCCTTTGCAGACCATCAGGTCATCCACACCAGGGACCTCCCTGTTGCTCTTCAGAAAGCCCATGGGGCAGGCAGGCCTGCACCACGGTCCCCGACCTGTGAGGACACAGACCTTAAAACCTGGGATCCTGCGGGAACAAGCCGAATGGACAAGATGGCCCTGGGTCTCCCACCTCCTTCAGTGGAAGCTGTGGTACCTCTGGGAGGCAGAGGTGATGGGCCTGCATCCAGCGCTCAGGACCCCCAGTAGATACCCAGGCCAAGGAAAGGACCCCCCCAAAGCACCTCTTAAAATATAGAACTTTATTTTGGTTGCTGAGATTTTCATAAGCACTTGGTTCACAGAAAAGTCATTTGTTACAAAATAATAAAAGGCAGCATTTTGTACAGCGACTCACAACGGGGCCATAGGTTAAATGCAAAGAGCAGTGCTGGGGAATGGAGGGACCTGCGCTCTTGTGCCCCACGTCCTCAGGGAGGAGACCGAGCCCCTGGTCCCTCCAGCCACGCCCTACCCCACCCGGAGAACAGCACCAGGGGCCTGGCAGAACCTCCCTGGGACGCCAGCTGCGGGCACACAACCACGACCTCAGCCGGCTGGCGAGGCGCCGTGTGAAGGGCCAGGTTGGCAGGGCGCTGTTCAGGCTGAGCCGAGCCTGCGTCAGGCCCCCTTCCTTGAATAGTGGGTCTGAGACCGCCTGGCTCTGGAACCTTCACACAGTCACAGCTGAGCTTAGCAAAGCCTTCTGCCCTTTCCTCAGGCTACTAAGCCTCCCCGTACCCTGGGAGTACAGGGCTGGGACTCAGGCGGTGACCTTCGTGGAGCTTACAGGTGAGTCAGTGGACAGGGATGGACCTGGGTAATTTCTAAGCAAGACAGAGCGTACTCTGTGGGGGCAGAGATGGGGCAGAGCGCAGAGCGCTGCCATCCACATGGCGTACTGAGCCTGGAAGAACGGGTGGGGCCTGGGCGTGCATAGCTGGCGAGGAGGGCGCGCCCAGAGGTTAGGAGAGCGGGAGCCAAGGCACGGAGTGGGAAACCTCAGTAGGGTCTGTAAAGGCAGGTGGTCAGTCATCCACGAGAATGTGGACACGGACAGGGCCCCAAGCCCCTCCATCTCCACCTGTCTGGCGCCCAGCGGGGGCGGCTGGTCTGGGTGTGCTTGCGGGATTCGGATCCTCCCCATGCCGCAGGCCCTGAGTCAGCCATGTCCTCCTGAGTCTGGGGGCAGCTGGAGGGGGGCGCAGTCTGGTGAGTCCTTGCACGGGCCAGCCCTCACCTGCACACCTAGCCACTCGGGGGAAGCCTTCTCCACACGCCCCTCCTGCCTTCCCGGGTGTCCCAGGGACAGCCTGCCAAGAGAGGCTCCTTACCTCAAGTCCCTCCTCCCTCAGAGGTCCACGTCCAACTGTGTCCTTGAGGAAACCAGAGCTCCAGCCTCCCCTACAGCAGGGTGGGTGTGGCAGTATCCGCGGAGAGTCAAAGTGAGCTCTAGGAGAGGGGATGACTCGGGCTCTTTCCCTCTCACTGGAGCCACTTCTGTCCCTTAAAAGTAAACTCGTCCTTCCCTGAGAAGATTCTGGGTTTGGTGCGTATAGTTCCCTGTAACTCAAACAGAAAACCCTGGCCAAGGTTTCAAAATCAATTTCCCCAACTCTTCATCATCTCTACAAGAGCTCGAGGGACTAGAAACCCACCAACTTCTGTTCCCTTTTTCTCCTTGAAAAATAATTCCATGGTTGGGGAACTAAGATCCTGTAAGCAGCACGCACGGCACAGCCAAAAACACCAACCAGCCAAACCAACACAAAATCCAAGCTCCTTCCTGCTGAGGGCTGTGGAGCCAAAGGGCTTGGGAGGTACCTAGTTCTCAGTCCCCAGAAGACTCGAGAGCCTGCCTTTCAGGGAGGAGATAAGATCAGCAGGAACCTTCACAAGCACTACTTCTTCCATCCTTGGAGGCTGCAACCTCTTAGCTCGGCCCGGCAGGGCCTGAGCCTGACAGCAGGGTATGTGCCTGCTTCCTGGGGTCTTCGGACGCCCCCAGCTGCCTCCTCCCGCAGCTCTCCATTCTTACAGGATGGTGCAGAAGATGCTGCGTTTGCTGTGGTAACCACCTTCCACGTGGGCTGTGATCCTGGTCGCCATGGCTGTCACCTTCTGCCCACCATGGGCAGCAGAGGGGCCCCGGAGAGAGTTTTCAAGGTGAGGCCGTGCTGGTGGGTTCGCCAGGCGCCATGTATCAGACCTGAAGGGGCAAAATGAGAATGCACTCTTTGAGGGTCTAGAGCATTTGCTGAATGCCCCGCACAACCTTACCTTTGGCTCAAGATCCAGGTGTTTAAATTGGGGTATAGGTTGTGTCTCCCTAGTTAAGTGATAGCAAAAGGGGGTGGCACACGCCTGCAGCTAAATCTGGTTCCAGCTCTGCCTTCAGTTCTGATGCAACCCTGGACATGTTCCCTCTCGTCCTCTATTCCTCCATCTTTAAACAAGGATCTAGATAAGACCAGTGACTTTCTCTTTTTTCTTTCATTCCCCCAGGCCCCATTTTTCCCCCATTATGTACGACCATGAATGTCATGCAAGCTTTAGTCAGTCATTTACTTTGAGTTTTTGGCCGTACCCTGCGGCATGTGGGGGCCTTAGTTCCCTGACCAGGGTCTGAATCCGCACCCCCGGTGTTGGAAGGCGGACTCTTAACCACTGAACTGCCGGAGAAGTCCCATACAAGCTTTATTAATCATCAGCAAAAATTAGAAACTACCTAAATATTCCTCAGCTGATGAACAGATGAACCAAGTGGTGTGTCCATTCTGCGGTAAAAAGAATGAATGACATGCGACACCACAGGGGAATCCGGGATACACTGGGCCAAGTCTAAGAAGCTAGGCTCGAAAGACGACACACTGTTATTTCTTTAGATGACACTCTGGAAAGTGCAAATCTACGGAGGGCAGAAACTGATGGGTTTCCAATCTCTTAAGCTTTTGTGGAGGTTATGAAGGGTTAGGGAAAATCAAATGATAATGATGGTTTGATCAGGACTTTCTGACCTAAGTTACAAGGAATTACCTCTAATACATATCAAATCCTAAACTGCTTAAACCAGCAACACTGTCTTCTATTTTTAATGACAGTATTACAAGTAGGGCTGGCAAGGTGTGGGCAGTGTCAGAGGCTGGCTACCGTGGGGTGAGTAAAAGCCCAGGAGTATTTGTTCAAGGGGCAGCAGCAGCCACAGCAATAAACACTCACGTGATACCTCAGATACGCTACAAGGTCACAGGACCTTATTTTATCTTAAGTTGGTGCTACGGACATTATTAAGTGGATTTTACTAAGGTTCAGAGATGCTGAGTAAATTGCCCAAGGGCACATAGCCAGTAACTGGCAGAGGTGAGATTTGAAACCACATTCCCCTGACTCTTTGAAAGCTTATTCCCTCCTAGGGAGTTGGGCTCAGGTTCTCTACCCAGGCCCAACACAAAGGCCAAGCACAGGCCTCTATCTGACCAGAGCTGAAAGCTGGCAGGACTAGGGGGCGAGGGCTGCCACAGTCACTGGGCCTGGCTCCCCAGGGCCCTCGCTGTGGTTCTGGAAGATTGGTTTAGGCACCCTGCGCACTTACTTCTTGAAGACCAAGACCCTGTTGTTCTGTATGGCGCATTCTTGGTTGCTCGAGCTCTGCTGGAAGATGGTCTTGCTGGTCTTGCCCTGGAAGATGGTGTTCTCCTGCACCAGGGCCTTGGCGTGGCCCTGCACTGTAATGCCGGAGGCCCGGGATGAATGGATTCGGTTCTTTATTACCTGCGGGAGGCAGCCAGAGCTCGTCACACCTAGGGGACTGGTGCGGACCCAGGTGACTGAATCACCAATTATAAAGCCGAGCGAGGGGTACAAGCACGCTGGGTGGGTCAGCAATGAGCCGGGGGAGCTCATGGAAAGGCTGTCAGGCCAGCCAGAGAACCAGAGGCGCTTCCTGGGAAAAGTGCTGGCTAAGCTGTGGGAGTTTCTCAGGCACAGAGCAGGGGAGAGTTGTTCCAGGAAGAAGGAACAATGTGAAAAGGGCCCTCAGACTGAGGGGCTGGTGCCAGAAGCAAGGGCCATTGATGACCCAGCTGAGGCGACAGTGAGCCCCCCTCTGCCTTCCCAGGGCTTGGATGCAGAGCCAAGTTCTTTACTCCTTGCCGACGGCAGGGACTCACGAAGCCACAAAGCAGGAAAGAGGCTCTGGGACCGTAATTTCACAAGGGCAGGGACTGGGTCTGCTTGGCTCAACAGTGAAACCCTAGCACCCAACCCAGTGCTTTGCATAAAAGTGGAGCTCAGAGCTCAAGATCCTGTGCGGAAGAAAACCAGGTGAAGGGAGAGACAGCACTGAGGGAAGTGCCCTGTGAGGCACGGGTGGGCACAGTCCGTAGAAGTAAAAAAGGGGCACTCCCACAGCCTGCGGGATCAGGGAGGGCTTCCAGAAGACAGTGACAGCCAACAGGGACAAGGCTACTCTGGGTAACGGGACAGTGTTGCAAGGCCCCAGGGCAAGACTTCTCATTAAGCACCCACTGCAATCTGGGTCCTGAGATTATTCCTCTAGGAGAAGAAAGCTGAAATAGCCCTGATCTTGACCTGAAGACTGTGAAGATACCTCAGGGGGCACCCCCCCAAGTTTCCTGCCAGTACCCCTCCTGTGTGAAGTGCCCCCTGTATCTTGCAGGCAGGGTTTAGGTGGCACCCTTGCAGAGTGCTGAGGGTTTGTGGTTCTGTTTCACAGCAGAGAGGGCACGAGAGCTCCCCTAGGACTGGCGTAGGCATGCACATCTCACGCACACACACGTGCATACACACACACGGCTCTCCTATGACTGGTGTAGGCATGCATGTCACACACACAGACACACACACCTTTGTGTCAGACGTGGGCAGCAGCTGCAGCCCACTGCCCCGGTTGCCAATGATGTCATTTTCCATGATGGTGCTGTCACCCTTGGTGATGATGCCATGGCCTCTGTTGTCATAGATACCATTGCCCCGGAGCTCCACCTTGCACTGGGCCTCGATCTTGACCCCACTCTGGCGGTTGCAGGAGATGCTGTTGTTGGCCACACGGGTGAGCTGACTGCTCTGGGCCACAGTGATGCCTCTGACTCTGTTGGCGTGGATCACGTTGGTTACCACGTGCAGTGCCTCACTGCTCTGGATGTAGAGTCCGGAGGCTGTTGGGGGGGAGAGGAAGCACAGGGTGGCCCCAGGGTCACTGCGAACTAGACCAGGAGGAAAAGCCTTCCCAGAACTGTGCAACCAGGAGAGGAGGTGGGGAGGACAGGGAGAACCAGCCCTGGGGACTTGCATCTTCCAAGCTGGATGACAGAGCAGGAGGGAACGTAGGACCAGCAAGGAAACTCTGCTCCTTCTGAGCCAAGTGCCCAGTGAGGGGGAGGGAGACGTGCTGTGAAGAGGCGCCTAAGACTCAGCGGGTCCTCCGGCCCAGGCGCTTATCCTGCGCTGGAATGCCTCCTACAGTTGCCTCCCCTTACCGCCGGCTGTGCCTCCTGGGACGGGGCACTCACTACCTGATCAAGGCTGCCCATCCCGCCTCTGGACAGACAGACTCACCCAAGCGCAAGTTCTGTGGCTTTTGTTCTGCTTCCCATTCTGAGCTAGAATCTGCCTCCCTATTGTTTGGGGAAATTTTCTTATTTCTTAAAAATTAAGAAATTTCTTACAGATGCCATGGGGGGGGGGCGGGAAGCACAAGATCAGCAGGCTGAGAACCGCAGCACGCAGTCAGGAAGAGGCAGCATGGCAGGCAGACCTGGGGTGAGCAGGACCCCCATTGGTGATATCCACCGCACCCCCCCCGGAGCAGGAGGCTTGGGCAGCAGGGGGTGGAGGCTGAGGGAGGATGATGACCATGGGTTCTTGTGGGAGCAGCCTGGGTTGTAAGCCCTGCAGGTCTGAATTTTTTGGTGGCACCTGCCTGTTGCTTCTCTTGGCTTGGTTGAGAACCGCAAAAACAAGTGTTTTGAATTTACATGGCTTTGCTTGTCGAACTGGACAGCGTGGCCACAGGAAGGAAGCCCTGAACTGGGAGGGAACAGAACTCATTTTCCAGGTAAGTAAGTGGGCTGGGCCCACTGGCTCCCCACCTCCCTGCCTCGGCCACTCCCAGGGTGATGAGCTTACTCAGGGCCCAGGGGCCTCTCTTTAACAAGCCTTCCTCCACCATTCCCCAGAGTGGTTCTCATAATCAGCCAGGTGTGGGAGCTGTAGAGTTGGATGAATTCCACAATAATTTTTTTTCCCATTCAATAAACATCAAACACCTACTATCCATTTTTATGAAGTTTAAGATAACATGAATTTTAAATATTCTTATTTTCTATATCTCTAAGAAAGAAAAAAAAAGTGAAGTTGCTCAGTTGTGTCTGACTCTTTGCGACCCCATGGACTATAGCCTACCAGGCTCCTCTGTCCATGGGATTTTCCAGGCAAGAATACTGGAGTGGGTTGCCATTTCCTTCTCCAGGAGATCTTCCTGACCCAGGGACTTAACCCGGGTCTCCCGCATTGTAGGCAGATGCTTTACCGTCTAAGCCACCAGGGAAATCTAAGAAAGAAAAATCACTGCCCATCAAACCATGACATGCCATCAACTGTAAGATGCATCTCATCAGAGGTGTGAAAAAATATGAAAAATGTGTCTCAGAGTTCACTGAAATGCATATGCCAGGTGTGGGACTGGTGCCAAGGGGCAGGGCGCACCAACGAGAGTGGGATGCAGTTCCTCGCCTCCAGTTCACTGCCTGTCAGAATTGATGAAGCAGCCATAGAAACGAATGCAGTCTCAGCCCCCCTAACAAGCGCCGGTGGGGCTGGGGGAGGGCCCAGCTGGAAGGAGGGACGCACGGCGGGTGAGGGCTCTGAGGTCCGAGTTGTTTCGGACGTGTGGGTGGGAGAAAGGGAACTTCGGCCAAGAGAAGGGCGAGGGTGGTAGTGGGAGAAGAGGAGAATGGATGGACGTCCAGGGGGTGGGGGCACCAGGCGAGTGGCTAAGAAGTGGCCGGTGTGGCTGGAGGGTCTCGGGGCAGGCCCGGCATGGGAGGGGTGCTCACCTCCGTTGTGGTTGACACTGTTGGACTCGACCAGAGCTATGGTGATGGGCCGGCGCAGCGGGTCATCCTTCTCCAGCTCTGTCTCCCACAGGACGGCATCCCCGTCCTCGCTGAAGTTCTCCTGGGCCCCGTGGCCTCCAGGGAATTCTCCGGAGCCCTCCTTCTGGCTGAACACCGCCACGCCGTACAGCCCATTGTAGCTGACGTGGTTGCGGGTGACGTGGGGCAGGCTGGATGCCATCATCCAGACACCACAGCCCTTATTCGCTGCAACAGTGAAAGGCGCTGGTCACTAATGCTGCCGACGGGCGAGGCAGCGCCCGGTATCTCCCCAGCCGGGGACGCAAAAGGGCACTGGCCTGGAGACTGGGCCACTGGCTGGTAAATGGCCTCGAACGCGTCACTTTCGGGCTTGGCTGCTGCAGGCTTCTCCTTCATACAAGGGGTAGTAACGGTCAGGTTCATCTCACAGCTGCCATCACTCCGTGGGGCGTAAGAGTGCTCTGGGAACTGCTAAGGCCCCAGTTCCAGATGGGAAACACATGAGCCCATGGTGACAAGTGCCCAGGGGCCCTCAGAACTCATCCAGCCCAACCACAGCCCGCACAGAAATGCAGGGTTTGCACAATGAGGTACCATTACACACCAGTCAGGATGGCTGCTATCCAAAAGTCTACAAGCAATAAATGCTGGAGAGGGTGTGGAGAAAAGGGAACCCTCTTACATTGTTGGTGGGAATGCAAACTAGTACAGCCACTATGGAAAACAGTGTGGAGATTTCTTAAAAAGCTGGAAATAGAACTGCCATATGACCCAGCAATCCCACTTCTGGGCATACACACTGAGGAAACCAGATCTGAAAGAGACACGTGCACCCCAATGTTCATCGCAGCACTGTTTATAATAGCCAGGACATGGAAGCAACCTAGATGCCCATCAGCAGACGAATGGATGAGGAAGCTGTGGTACATATACACCATGGACTATTACTCAGCCATTAAAAAGAATTCATTTGAATCAGTTCTAATGAGATGGATGAAACTGGAGCCCATTATACAGAGTGAAGTAAGCCAGAAAGATAAAGACCATTACAGTATACTAACACATATATATGGAATTTAGAAAGATGGTAACAATAACCCTATATGCAAAACAGAAAAAGAGACTCTGATGTATAGAACAGACTTGTGGACTCTGGGAGAAGGCGAGGGTGGGATGTTTCAAGAGAACAGCATCGAAACACGTATATTATCTAGGGTGAAACAGATCACCAGCCCAGGTTGGGTGCATGAGACAAGTGCTCGGGCCTGGTGCACTGGGAAGACCCAGAGGGATTGGGTGGAGAGGGAGGTGGGAGTGGGGACCGGGATGGGGAATACATGTAAATCCATGGCTAATTCATTTCAATGTATGACAAAAACCACTGCAATGATGTAAAGTAATTAGCCTCCAACTAATAAAAATAAATGAAAAAAAAAAAAAGAAATGCAGGGTTTGAGTCCCAGCCCTACCACTCCCTACCTGTGTGACCTTGAGCAGGTCACTGAACTCTGTGCCTCAGGTCCCTCATCTAACACGGCTGACTGACTGCGCCAACCTCAGAAGGGGTCCTGAGGATTAAATGGGAACGCACGGAAGAGGCCTAGTAAGAGTCCGGGACCGGAATGCAGGTTCGCTGTGTTATTATTAGAGACGCAGTCCAGAGAGGCAGGCGTGGCCCGGCCACAGAATGAATGAGAGCCGTTTTCTTTCAATGATTACCCTATTTCTGCATTATATTTTTAGTTCTCTGGATCAAAAGAAAGAGGGGTTAGATGCTCTTGCATCAGAAATTAGATGGCCCTGTCCTTACAAGATCCACTCCTGCCCTTGACTGTTGTAAGTGGGGATTAAAGCTCTCTGCTTTGCTGACGCCATGGGGTCCCCCTGGATTAGAAGGTGATTTATGAAAGGCTCATGCCTTCTGAGAGGGGCTGGGACCTGAGATAGAGGCTGGTCTTTAAGAGGAGGTACTGGAGGCCCAGGGAAAGGCAGTGACTCTCTCAGTACCCACCAGCGGGAGATGGAGCCTGGGCTTCCCGCCTCCAGGCTGCACTGGCCCCCAAACCTGACCCCAAGGAGGGCGGCTCTCACCGTAGATGGTGTTTCCTTCCAGCAGGCCTTTGCCTTCATCCCCCACAACCACACCATCCGAGTAGCCAAAGCAGATGAGGTTGCTCCTGAGGATGGGGACCCCTCCTCGGCGGACGTCCACGCCTCCCCACTGATTCTCCCGGATGACATTTTCTATGGAAAGAGGTGGAAAAGAGGGTCACAGGCCACCTACAGCGCTGGCATGAGGACTTGAGCAGCTGCCAGAAAACAAGTCCGGACAAGGACGCTGAGGCCTGCCCGTCAGGAGTCAGCACCCAGAATCTTGCCTGCTGTGTGACGTTCCAAGCACTTGTCTGCTGTCTGCTTTCCCCAAGGGCAAGGTCTGTGTCTGCCTCGTGGTTTCCTGTATCCCCAGAACCCACCGTATCCAGCGGCCCGGGGGACTGATAACTAAGCAAAGGCTGGCTTTAGAGTCCCCGGACCAGGGCCAGGCAGGGCCGTCTGCCCTGGGGGACTGTCCTCGGGAGCACTGACGCAGAATCCAGCCGCTCCTCACAGGCCTGGGGAGGTGCGAGCCTGTCCTCCTCAGCCTGCTCTGGACTGACCACAGCCCTCCTCTCCCCTCCACCACGTCTCTGGGAGGGGGTGGGCTGGAGGGCCCCCAGTGAGAGGGGTGTCCTGGGACACGGCTGCTGCAGCACCAGGAGGGGGCGGACTCTCGGCCTCTTGTGACGGGACTGCAATGGTTCAGGAGACCCTGTGTGACCAGCTCCTGCCTGCCTCCCATCTCACACTCCTCGCCCCTTGCTCACCGCACTGCAGTCAAATGAGCAACCTCTGTGCTCCTCAGGCCTGCCAAGTCTGTTCCCGCAGGTGGCCCCATGTGGAATCCTGGTTCTTTCCTGAGTTTCTTCCCATCCTCCAGCTTCTAGTTTACATGTCACTTTTTTGGAAGGCCTGCACTGACCACACAATCCTAAATACCCACACAGTTTTGTCTATCACCTTAATTATCTGTAGACCCCCTGGCAGACAAATGGTTAGGACTTGGCGCTTCCACTGCCAGGGCCAGAGTTCCATCCCTGATTGGGGAACTAGGATCCTGAAGCTGTGTGGTGTGGTCAAAAAACAAAAATATGTATTGCCCTCAGAGATGACTCTTCCTGAAAAAAAAAAGTACATGCTTTTGTTATTTTCCCTGTCAGTTCCTGACAGCAGAGATCATCTGTTTTCCTCACTGCCGTATCCCCAGCTCCTGCTTACACTGTGTGCTCAAAAAATGTCTGTCCAATGAAGAAAGGCAGGATTCAGTCAAGAGGAGTTACTGGCCCAATATTTACTGGATCTTGTCAGTGTTCTAGGTATGGCTATGCTCTGTGCTGAGGCTACACTGACGTACCAGATGGACATGATCCTTGCCTCACAGAACACAGCAAAGGAGGCTGTCATTAAATGGATCCTAAGAAATGAAGTACAGTGTCCTACAGAGTAGGCCTTCTTGGTGGACTAAGTGAGTGGATGTATAAGGGGAGGTCAGGGGAGCCTTCCCCCCGGGAAGAGACAACTGGGCTGAGGCTCAGAGAACGACAGGAGTTGGCCAGGCAGAGGGGGAATGGGGATGGATTGCCAGAGCAGGAACAAACCGATAGAGCCCAGAGAAGGGGTCAGTTCGTGTGGTGTGAATATTTCTGACAGTGTTCTGTGAGCCACCCACTCAGATCCTATAAGCACCAGGCCTGGCAAAGGACGGACGTGACCTCCCTGCGTGGTGGGCACGGCCAGGGCGTGGAGCCTGCGTCCCCGAGCGCTGGTCACCATCAGGAGGCCAGTCTGCAGGGGAAGGACGGGGCGGGTGGGAAGCTGCGGACACTGGCTGGGTTGTGGCGGCCTGGGCGGCCACAGCTCCAGGCTGTCTCATGCCGACCTGTGATGAGGCCTCTGCCACTCTCGCTCACGGCGATGCCGGCCGCGTGGCCCTTGAAGATGTGGTTCCGGCTAGAATGAAAGGAGAAGACAAAAGGTGAGGCCAGACCAACATCATGCATCAAAGACAATGCCCATCCAAGATGCCTCCCCTCCTTCGTGGGCTTCCCAGATGGTTCAGGTCCACTGGGATATGGAGCACCTCTTTGAGGCCCAGAAGCCAGGCAGAAAGCAATCGTCAGTTACCACTGCCCCCAAACCACCTGCAACTATGCCACAGAAACAGATATACCCGTCTCTGCAGCCTCTCTGGACGGTCAGCCTCACTCAAGCACCATTTTATTTGTATTATCGTTGTTGTACAGTCTTTTATGATTTGAAGGTGTACAACACAGTAATTCACAAGTTTTAAAGGTTATATTCCATTTACAGATATTATAAAATATTGACTATATTCCTGATGTTGTACAATATATCCTTTAGCTTATTCTATACATAATACTTTATACCTTTTATACCTCTTAATCACCTACCCCTATATTGCCCCTCTCTGCTTCCCTCTCCCTACTGGTGACCACTAGTTTGTTCTCTATATCTGACTCTGCTTTTTCATTATACTCACTAGTCTGTTGTATTTTTTAGACTCCACGTATAAGCGATATCATACAGTATTTCTTTCACTGACTTATCTCACTTGGCATAACAGAAGCTCTAAGAAAGCGAGCTCCTGACTCCAGAGACACACATGGCCCTACTGCCATGGAAAGTGCTCGAGAATGAGTTCCTTAGAGGAAGACACCTGAGTGTGTTAAAGGACCTGCATCGCTCCAGTCTCTCAACTCTGGTTTCCTGCCTGTAAATACAGAGCCACTCAGACACTGGCAGAAGTGGGTTATTTCTGGAGGGTACACATTTGCTGCTTGGTATTTCTACTAACAGGAATACTGTGAGCTCCTTCTATACTGGAGGAGGACCTGCCCCCTCTCTGAGGAGGTGCCCTCCTACTTCCGACCATGCAGCAGAAGGATTTAGATCCAAATATACAGCGAGCTGTTCAGAACCTGACACAGGGCCTGGCTCCTCTCACAGAACCTCACTGATCATGAGTTGGCTGCTAAGTCTTCCCAACTGCAGGGCAGGGTCCAAAGGGTTTACTACATGTTGTTATTGTTTACTTGCTGAGTCGTGTCTGACTCTTATGACCCCATAGACCGTGGCCTGCCAGGCTCCTTTGTCCAGGGATTTCCCAGGCAAGAATACTGGAGGAGGTTGCCATTTCCTTCTCCGGGGGAATCTTCTTGACCCACAGACTGAACCCACATCTCCTGCTTGGCAGACAGACTCTTTACCACTGAGCCACCACCAGGGAAGCCCTTACTTCATTGTGGGGAAGCCAAATGCCAACTGTGCCTACATTAGGCATTTGGAGTTGAATAAGTGAAACTGTCTGTTAAAAAACATCCTTATGTTTTTACTCCGATATGAAGCAACTGCTTTGATGTGATTATAATTCAGTCAACTGATGGTTACCCTGGGCTTCTAGAATTCAGGGTCAGATGCAGTCCCTGGGCTCAGGCAAACCTCATTCTGTGAGCTGCGTCACAGAAGCAAATGCATGAGTGTTATACTTTTAACACAAATCTCACTTACTTTCAGAAAGAATCCATGGCCACTTGGAGAAACATGTGTGTGTGTGTACACAGGGTAGGCAGAACAAAGATAAAAGAGACATCAGAAAACAAGAGGAAAAGGGGACAGAGCATTGTTCCAAGAACCAAGGGTGGGATAGTAACACAGTCTGAGTCCTATGCTTCCTTGCAGCCAAGGCAGAAAAAACAAAGAACAAAAAAACCCCATAGGTTATGTAACTCTTACCAGCAAAAAAATATGCTCAATGGCTTGCCTTAGTGAGGTCACCTCTGGGACCTTGAAATTCAGGGACCTCTCACAAATCCCTGTCCTCCATCACAAAGAAACATAAAGGAAAAAAGCAAAACCTAATTCTCTCAAAGCAACTGTTTTATTCCAAAAATACTTTTTATTGAAGCATATTTGATTTATAATGTGCCAATCTCTTCTGCACAGTAAAGTGACTTATTATACACATACAGACATTCTTTTCCTATTCCTTTCCATGATAGTTTATCACAGGATATTGAATATAGTTCCCTGTGCTGTATAGTAGGACCTTGTTGTTTATTCTTCCCGTACATAGTAGTTTACATCTCAACCCAGAATTTTTTGGGGTGGAGGCTTTTGGCTTGTGGGATCTTTGTTCCCAACCAGGGGGAACAAAGGCCTTCAGCAGTAAGAGCATGGAGTCCTAACCACTTGTCACCAGAGAATTCCCTCAAAGTGACTGTTTTAAAAAGCCAAAAATAAAATAAAATAACAGCAACAACAACAACAAAGCCAAGACACTGATCTGGTTGTAATATTCCTTGCTCAAAACCCTTCAACAACTCCCCGGCATCCACAAGGTTTGGGTATATGGCTGCGGTAAGTAATTACCACAAACTTAGTGGTTTAGAACAACACGAATTTATTGTCTTCCAGTTTAGGAAGTCAGAAGTGCAAAATGGGTCTGACAGGGCTAAACCAAGGTGCCAGTAGACTGCCTTTTTTCTGGGGACCCAGAAAGGACCTGCTTCTGGCCTTTCCGGCTCCTAGAGGCGGCCCAGGCTCCCTGGTCTGTGGCCTCACCCTCTGGCCTGGCCTCTGCTGGCACATTTCCTTCTCTGACTCCCTGCTTGCCTCTTCTAAGGGCCCACCTGGATCGCCCAGGGTCCTCTCCCCAGCCCAGCGCCCTTAACTCAATCACATCTGCAACGTCTCTTCTGCCTTGGAGACAGTCTATGCGCAGGTTCCCAGGATTAGAAAATGGATAGATCTGGGGGGCCATTATTCTACCTACCACATGTGGCATTCAAGTTTCCTCCATGCTCCAGCATCAACCCTACGTTGCAGGCTGACCTTATGCCCAGACACGCCACACTTTTCCCACCACTTTCCCAAGTCAAACCCCAAATTTCACTGCCCCAGGCTTGTAATGCCTTTCTGAGGCCATAAAATCCTACCTGTCCTTCAGCAAAAGTAAAGTATTAGTCGCTCAGTCACGTCCAACTCTGCAACCCCACAGACTGTAGCCTGCCAGGCTCCTCTGTCCATGGAATTTTCCAGGCAAGAATCCTGGAGTGGGTTCCTATTCCCAGGGCATCTTCCTGACCCAGGGATTGAACCTGGGTCTCCTGCATTGCAGGCAGATTCTTTACCATCTGAGTACTGCTCAAAGGTCAGCGCCCCATGTGCCCTGTCCTGACTCACTCAGCTGCAATCATGACTGGTTTTCTTCTGCACCTGCATGAAGACCTATAAAAGCATTCACTTTGGTGAGTCCTTCCCTTACAGCTCCCATCTGCACAATGACACCGAACACTCTATAGGGTAGAGACTGTTCATATACCCTTGATACTGCTAACCCCCTTATATGGAGTAAACACCTAAATGGGTGTTTAATGAATAATACACACACATGCAAACCCATACTCTTAAGGCAATAACATAAAAGATGGGAAAATAGCTCCATAATCATGTGATCACTAATTGTTTTAGTAAGCTGCCTACTGGAGCAGTAAATGACAACCCAATCCAGTATTCTTGCCTGGGAAATCCCATGGACAGAGGAGCCTGGTGGGTTACAGTCCATGGGGTCGCAAAAGAGTCAGACGTGAGTTAGTGACTAAACAACAAACAAAAAGAAGCTGCCTACGATAGTGAAAAAATAGAAACCTAACAGTAATAGGACTGGTTCAAAAATGAGGGAGTATCAAAACAATGGCATGTTCTGAAACTGACCAATGTGATAAATATAGCAACATAGAAAAGTACACACAGGATAATGCAGGGAAAAACTCTCAAAATATATTTGCTACACAATAATTCCAGTTATTTTTGTAAAGCGCAGACATAACATGTGAGTCTCCCACTCAAAACCTTTAGTGATCCCCCCTTATCTAGACAGAATAAATTCCACATTTCCCACTGGACTACATAAGGCCTTCCTCATCTGGCCCCAGGCTTTCCAGCACACTGCCTGGCAGAGGTGGACTGCCACGGGGATATAAACGCTCAGGCTGCAGTGACCACAGCGCCCAAGATGATCTGGGACAGTCCCAGCTTGAGATGTTTCACAGCCACGTCACAACTTGTGTGAGACTCTCTCTCAAGCCCCAGGGGCCTGTGTGCTCCCTGACTGTGCTGTTTGGCTGCCTCTGTGCACATCGCTTCCTTCTCTAGGAGTGTCTGCTCCCCAGCTCCATGAGAGGCCAAGCCCTACCCGTATATCAAAGTCTAACCCCAATGCCAGCTCCCAAATGAGGCCCCCACCGCCCCCTCAGCAGAATAATTCCCCCTCTCTCGGCACCACTCTGACAGCATTTATCACAGCCTGCACCACATGACGGGTGGGAGGGCAGACCCACAGCCCCACTACCTCCAGCTCACACCAGTGACGGATCACAGGCATGCTTCCATGCTGAGGTCAGATGTAGCCTCCAATCTTAATACAGCAATCCCAGGTAGCCACTAGCAACTGATCAGAGTTGTCAAGCAAGTTGAAATCTCTATGCCATTCCTATCTTGGCATTCTTTCTGGACACACATGTCCTCCTCCAGACTAGAGTCAGCTCCGAGGGAGCAGAGTCTGCCTGGTTTACCTTCGTTATCATTATTAGACGTGCCCAATAATGCTTGCTGAATAGAATGGCCTCACGTAATTAACTGGAAGGGAACACAGATAATGTAACACAGAAGGCTGTGTTGCTGAGGTGGGATTGTGGGTGAAGTCTGTCTCTTCTCTGCTTGCATGCACACAGTTGCTTCAGTAAACAAAAATGGTTTCAAATGAAGCAAAGACAGGAAGCAGGGAACCAGAGATGAAAGAGGAAGAAAGGGACCATGGATGAGCAGGATGGTCCGAGTACAGAGGCACATACATACCTCACGACTGGATTTCCGTGGTACAGGATGTAAATGCCAGCCTCCTTGTTTGAAAAGATTTGATTGTTCCGGATGATGCCTTTCCCATTGCCAAGGACAACAATGCCAGAGCGAAGGCCGTGGTGGATCTGGTTACACTGCAGGTGGACAGGAGAAGACAGATCAGACACGCCAGGGAGCAGCAGAGGACTCAGCGCTGCCCCACGGCAGGGCCAGGATGTATCCGCAGAGGAAGACGCGTCACTGCAGGATCCCAGGCACAGAGCAAAGTGAATGGACTGGGCGTGGCCCTGCCGTCTCTGCTCAGGTGCACACATGCATACCTGTCAGAGAGACTCCTGAGAGAGGCGTCTACCCCGCCCAGACTGTTGGGATCTATTAATAGTTACATCCTGACACTTAATGCTGAGGGCTCTTGCCTTCATCTGCAATGCACAGTACTGAAAATTTCTGAGCCTCCGAAGAGTCCTCCAAAAATTTCTGAGCCTCCAAAGCGCATGGTCATCATCAAGGCCACGTTACCCCAGGGCCCCAGAGGCGGAGCCCCAATAGTGGGAACACTAAGCACAGGCCTGAGGGACCACCCAGGGAAGGGAGGGGGACTGTGGAAGCTTAGCCCCAGGGAGCTGAGGTTTCCCACGAGACAGGAGGCCACCAGAAGGTATACGGGCCACAAGGACCTTGGAGGTGTTTCTGCCAAACTCCTCTGTGCTAACGGGGAAAGAGGCTCAGGGTCATATAGTACATTTGAGGCAGAGCCGGATCGGAAACCTAGCTTTTCTGTTTCCCAGTTAGTTGCCTTTTGCATACTGATTAAAATCCTCAGTTCAGTTCAGTTCAGTCGCTCAGTTGTGTCCGACTCTCTGCGACCCCATGAATCACAGCACGCCAGGCCTTCCTGTCCATCAGCAACTCCCGGAGTTTACCCAAACCCATGTCCATTGAGTCAGTGATGCCATCCAGCCATCTCATCCTCTGTCGTCCCCTTCTCCTGCTGCCCCCAATCCCTCCCAGCATCAGGGTCTTTTCCAATGAGTCAACTCTTCCCATGAGGTGGCCAAAGTATTGGAGTTTCAGCTTCAGCATCAGTCCTTCCAATGAACACCCAGGACTGATCTTCAGGATGGACTGGTTGGATCTCCTTGCAGTCCAAGGGACTCTCAAGAGTCTTCTCCAACACCACAGTTCCAAAGCATCGATTTTTCGGTGCTCAGCTTTCTTCACAGTCCAACTCTCACATCCACACATGACCACTGGAAAAACCATAGCCTTGGCCAGACGGACCTTTGTTGGCAAAGTAACGTCTCTGCTTTTTAATATGCTGTCTAGGTTGGTCATAACTTTCCTTCCAAGAAGTAACCGTCTTTTAATTTCATGGCTGCAGTCACCATCTGCAGTGATCTTTAAAATCTTAGGTTATAATAAATTATAATGGTTTCACTCTGCTAATTTACAGCCTAAATACAGTCACAGATTTAAACCAGGGAGCTAGCTGTTTCTCTTCCAAAACTATCTCACGAAAACAAAGCTCAAGTTTGCTTTAAAGCGCTTCCTGCTGTAGGAGCTCCTCTTCTTATGGGTTCCGGATTCTCCCCTGGAGGCTCTGGCAGACTCATCAGGGCAACAAAGTGCTTTTTTAGGGCAGACATCATGTCTTTATCCTTACTGAACTCAAAACCTACAAGAGCATATCAGGGCTGCAGGAAGGCAGGCCCTGTGAGCTTCCCTGACTGCTGGGTCCTCATCCTTGCTGGGGGAGACTTCAGGGATGTGATTTATCCAAAGTCACCTTCAACACACGGAGGAAGAGACCAGAGTCACAAGGACACAGGAAAGGGCAGGAATGACTTGCAAACAGGAAGCAACAGGAATTCAAAACGGTAGCATTTGCTCAGACATCCTAGCAAAGGTTTCTGAGAACTATGAGCCACCCTGAAAGGGGCACCGAGGTGGAGGAAGTACCAGAATGAGGGGGTTGGACTTCTTCCGGATGTCCACGCCGGCCTCCGCGTTGTGGCAGATGTTGTTGCCAGCGATCAGGCCGCCACCCTCCAAGCGAAGAAAGATGCCCGATGCTCTGCAGTGGTGAATGTGGTTCCTGAGCATGATGATCTAGGCAGAGAAGAAACAGCCATTCGTTTTCTGGTCACAAAGGTTATTTTTTAAAACCTGCTCAGGGGGCACCTGAGTTTCCTCCTTTCTGTGTGGTCTGTGCAGATCTGCCCGACGCCAGCTCAGGTGCTCTCACGATGTGCTCACCAGGAGGGAGTACCTCCACGCCCTTCTGGGTTTGGTCCTGCAGCCTCTGCACCAACCTCATACCTGTTCTTCACTAAACCCTGGATGGAAGCTTGGCCCTGGGCTCCACATCCACAACCTCGGAGCAGGATGGAAGGGATGCTTAGATGAGATGGGATTAGGCAGGCTGCTAACACCACATGAAGAGTTCCCCAGAGGTCTGAGGGCACAGCTACTTCAAATGGAACCAAGTGCCAATTCCAGGCACTTCTGCGGGACTTCACCTGCCTAAGGAAGTGCTAGAGGGAGGGCAAGGTAACTCACAGGCACTCCTTGCCCACCTTCCCTTTGGCTTTTCACTTGTAAGACAAATACCCATTCTTGCCTGCTCTGTCTCTCTTAATGTGTTATCTTAAGGTGAAAAACCCACTGGAATTCCAAACTAAGAGACAGTTAGAAATGTTGGTATAGGGATAAAGAAGCCTCTTTAAAACAAGATATCATAACCCGGCACACAGCTTAGTAAGAGGATGTATGGCCACTTACACTTTCTTTTTATATTTAATAATTACATAAAAACTTAAAATATGTCTTTTAAAAACTGTGTATTAATAATAAAATAGATTATGTGAAGGTAAATTGTGTATTAACAATAGACAATATATTACACTAGACTTAAATCCTGGGAGGGGTAAAGTATAATGGAAGTACAATTTCAAGGTGATGCTTATGGCTTATGATGGAGAAAGTTAGAAAGAGTATTGCTCCCACAAGAAGATTCTCTGAATCCACGAGAGCTGAGGTCGTAGGACAACCAACGAGCCTGGAATCTAAGGGAAAAAGGCATCTCCAAGGGCATGAGACAGGAGTGTCTGCTTGTTTGAAAAGACACAGGTGCCATGCTAGCCAGAAAGAAGAGTTTGGCTGTTTTCACAACTTGTTGAAAGCCAAGCGTGAATCAGTGAGAGCACAGAAGCCCCGGGAGTCATTGCATCTATTCATTTCTCCACAGACCATGCCAGGTGTTCATGGAGAAAGCCTGAGGGTCAGATAAGAGGCTGGAGATGCCTCCCTCCTGCTGGGCACTTGGCGGGAAAGAACAGTCACTTTGGAAAAAGCACTAAGCCCCTCTTGGATTTCCCCCCTAATTTTCCCAGAGAACAAGCTTTAAGCAGCTGGGTGAAGAGCTGCAAACCCTGTGGCTCTCGTGGGGGGTGGTGGAAGACAGAAAAGCAATAAACCCTTTACCCCTCAGGGATGTGGGAGGAAAATGTTTTGGGTCTTAAGGGTTAGATTTCCCCTCCTAGTGCAGGAGGTGAGGCAGGACCACTGCAAAGGGCCCACTGCCAAGGTCCTAAACTCATGGACACATCACCTACCCAAGATTAAGGATGAATGGGGATACCAGACACTCCTTACCAGCACAGCTCTGCCTCACTCAAGTCAGATGATGGACATGGGGCCAGTATGCATTATAAGCTTAAGAGAGGATGACTTTTTTAAAAATGCAGACTAACTCCATCCAAGCCCTCCTGCATACAACCACTGAAGCACTCTCACCACTCAAAAATCATGTTCCTGGTGACCCAGTGAGGCCTCATGGGTCTGCACAGTAAGCCTATGACAGCACCTTGCTATTATGTATACATCGCACCGCGTAAGTCAGGTTCCGGAAGATGTTTCCTTCCATCTTGGCTCGGCCGTAAGAGCAAACAAAGACGCCTCCCTTGCCGTCCCGGAAGAGGCACTTGCGGATGAGGCAGCCCTGCACGGAGCTGGCCAGGGCCATGGCCTCCCTGTCCTTCTGCAGCTCCTGCCGCAGGGAGTTCAGTACCAGGCAGCTGGGCAGCTGGATGGAGGCTCCAGGCAGCGGTGGGCCCAAAAAGGGGCCCCCCAGGACCGGCCGTGGGCCCTGCACTTGGTAGGACAGTCTGTACGTGAGCTGGTCCTCGTCCTCATCCTCACCGCTGGGGCTCAGGCCTCCATCGCTGCTGTCTGGGGTCCGGGCCACCCTTTCCCCATTGCTGCCCATCTCTGCCTCCTGGGAGCCAGCCCTGGGGGAGCCGGTGGCTGGGCTGGTGGGGCTCTGGCTGCCCTCAATGACAATGCCACAGGTCCTCGGGCTCCAGGCCTGGTCCCTGCTCTCCAGGTCGAGGGACATTAAAGAGTCCGAGTCCTCGGTGGGGAGCACGCCAGGAGAAGACCTGATGAGCCCTAAGAGGTGCGTGTAGGCCCAGTTGTTTTCTGAGGACGGGTGGCCCTCGACAGTCACCGAGTTGTTTTCACTGCCCACGAATTCACAGTTTTCCAGGACACACAGGGGCACGTTGTGCAGAAAGACGTGAGTGTTCTTGAAGGAGCAAAACTTCACTTGGCAGGTGCCCGGGCCGTGGACCTGGATGTGCCCATTCTCGAAGTTGCAGTTGTCAAACTGGACGTGACCTGAAGTTGTCTGGGGGATGAGAGAGAGACAGTGGGTATAACAGGGATAGGATCTGTTTTGCTGGTCGGAGCTCTGACTGCTCCAGAGGGGGTGGCGCCTCGAGAGGCCTCTGTCCTGCTGGTCACGTTCCCTTCCCCACAGGGTGCAGGTCTGCCAGCCCCGGAGGAACCGGGAGCTGCTCTGCATGAAGGAAGCTGCCTGCCCCTCTCTCCCTCCAGTCCCAAAGGGCGGGGGCGAGGGTGGAAACGGAGAACGGCAGAAAAAGTTCACTCTGCAGCAGGGCCCCTCCCCAACCCCTCAGATCTCAAGTAAATTCTACCAATGCTCATGAAGCACTTAGAATAAGGAGTGTGTGTGGGGGACCTGCAGAAGGGGGAAGATGCTGAATGCTCAGAGGGATGATGGGGAACAGAATCGACACATGTTAACACTGGAGGTGAACCAGGAAACTCTCACTCTAGGGATGATTAGAAATGATGGGGAAGCTTCCCATTTCCACAGACCCAGGAGCTCGCTGGGATGCAAGCCCAACTTTACCAAGCCCTCTGAGGGGTAAGGGTCCCACGTGGGGCCTCGGTTTCACAGAGACTGTGTCCCATCATGGGGCACTTCTCTGGGTCTCACCCTCCAACGCGCTCTCCCGTCCCTGTCATCCTCCCTGGGTCCTGCAAGCTAGCCTCCAACTGAGCCTGCGGACTGCAGCTCGCCAGAGGTCAACCTAGTGTCTGCACTCAGGACGGAGCTGGGCGAAGTGGGAGGGCTGGCAGAGGCCCAGGTGGCCAGGAGGGGCTGTGCCAGCAGTGGGAGGCCCCGACACAGGTGCTGGGGGTCTGCATGGGAACTAAAGCTGGTGCGCAGCTGGAGCTGCAGTGCGCAGCTGGAGTGCGCAGCTGGAGCTGCAGTGCGCAGCTGGCCACGTGTCTGAAGAGCCGGCAGCACAGAGGCTAAAAGGCGCAGGCTCCGAGGTCTGGCTGCCGGGCCCAGCTCCCAGCTCTGCCTCTTCCAAGGGTGTTACCTCAGGCCAACAGGTCCCTTCTCCAAGCCTTAGTTTCTCTGTCTACAATACAGGGCTCACAAGCTAACAAAGCACCAGGCATGGAGCCAGGCGCAAAGATGGCATGTGATAAAAGCCAGCTATTATCACCGTGCAGAGCAGAGTCCTCTGGGGCAGGGGAGTGCTGAGCCCTCAGCTCTGCAGGCCTGACAGTGAGGCCTGGCTGCTCTGTATTTCTGAAGAACTGTTTCTGGACTTCACACCAAGTTCCATGAGATGTATTTGAACCACAAGAGGAGGGAGTGTCCCATGATCCCGTTCAGTAATCCTTGGACAATTTTACATCTTCCAGCAGTGATCTCCCTTGAGAGCTTGTCCCAGAACTTAACTCCCCTCAACCTGTCTAGTTCTTCCCTAGGGCCAACCTAACTTTTTCTTGCTGCAACTGAAGTCTGTTTTCTCTTACTTGGTCCTCTCTGTAGGAAAACACTGGCTCTCTAGAGATGCAGAGCCACTGCCAGGGCTCCCCTCAAAAGTCATATAAAACGGCTGTGAAATCACCCTGCCCTTGGCATTGTTTCAGGCAGGGTGATTCTGGCCCCTTGTCCTGTTGTTAGTTAAAAGACAATCAAGGACTGAGCACTAATATATGCCAAGCACTGAGGCAGGAAGTGGGCTGAGCTACAGAGACATCTACGGCCAAGGCCTACCCCCTGAAGATCTGTGGCTACACTGGTGAGGGGAAACAGAGGCTGAAATGAACATCTTACTCCAAGAATAAATGTCTATGAAATGTGAAGGGTCTGGAAATGAACAATTCTTCTGGGTCTGTAGATCAGCAGTGGAAGACCTCATCAGTCCTGAAATGTTCTAGGTCTAATCAGCAAGCAGCCTTCCAAGCTTCCAGGAAGACAGTACAATGTAATTTCAAAAGCACTTCAGCTCAAAGGCCTGGATTTGAGGTCTAACCTAATTATCTGCTTGAGAAAGTTACTCACCATCTCTGAGCCTCAGTGTCCCTCATCAGCAAAATGGGGACACATCTCTGTCCACTGCAAGTTTGTTGTGAGACCACTGATGCAAAGTCACCTATATTATGAATACAGGTTTTGAACCCTAGTTCTGTCCCTTACAAAGTCTGAGACCCTTGCTTAGGCTCCATTTGCTTGTCTATAAAGCCGGCTGACACTACCCATCTTAAACATGCTGTAAGGACATGCCTGGCACCCAGTAAGTGCATCATAAATGACCGGTGGCATAAAGATCACTATGAACCTGACAGACAATCTGGTTGTTACTGGTAGAATAGTGGTGGTGTAGTTTTTGTTGACAAGGTACAGAATCCATGCACTGGAATCAGTTTCTAAGCAATGTAAAAGCTGCAGACTGTTCTGCCAGGAGCTACCAACAAGCTACCGTGTTTGTCTCTGAAAACAACTGCTCTGTTCCTAGAAGGACTATGTTGTTCTGCTATTTCCCGACTCTCTCTCCAGTCACTCTTGGCAAAAGCTAGACCTTCCTTGACCCTCCCCAGAGCGGGGTTAACATGCTGAAGGTCACTGGCTTGCAGAGCGTCCCCTCTTTGGCCATCTCTCTGGGAATGCTGCCTGTCACCATGCGGCATGCTCCTGGAACCTGGCTTTCCCTCCCGGCTGCTCTACCTGTGGCCCCAGTTGGTCTAGCTTGGAAGGGAAGATGTACAAGGCAATCTTGACCTCCAGGGAGGGAATAAAGCAGAATGTTGATCTTTACTGATCCCCGTGCCTTCTCAACTGGTGTAGAACTCAGAGGACTATGTTATAGGAACGACGACTGAACTCTCAGTTCCAACAAAAAAAGGGTTACAAACCCGCCGAGAAGAGGCCAAGACTCAGGGTCAGGCTGGGAGAGGCTGTCCGTCAGAGGTGGACACCCACCTTAAACATGAAGGGCGAGAACCAGGCCGGCATGAAGACAAGGTTGCAGAGGCGAGTGGTGGAGCATTGCTGGTCAATGCTGGCCAGCAGGGCCACTTCGCCGAGCTTCCCGTGGCCTACGATCTCCACGGGCACCTTCAGGATGATTTCACCTTGCTCTTCGTGCAGGCCTGGGAACAGCAGGATTCGGTCAAACAGGCTGGACATGGCCAGGGCACTGCCGAGGCTGTGAAACTCATGGCCTGGCCCAACACTCAGGGTCCGGCGCGTCCTCCTCCGGCGAAACAGAGAGAAGCAGACAGAGGTCTCCAAGATGGCGGCGTTCTTGGTCCAGGTCTTGGAGGCAAGGTAATGCTGCTTGAAGGCCTCCCTCCAAGACTCGGGCTCCACATCGGGCTGGTTGGGCCAGTTGGGGTGGCGGCACTCAGCACAGCCCAGATACAGCTGCCGCCAGCGAGTCCTGTCAAGACTGAGGATCAGTTCTCGCCAGGCCCTGCATACCAGGCTGCAGCGGCCCAGGTCGGGCAGCGGCAGGTAGGCCAGGATCATGCGCCACAGCTCCAGGGGGAGGCCACCAGCCTCCATGGTCACCTGGGACACAGAACAAAAGAGGTGTTTGTCTACCCTGCTTACGGTCCCTTTCTTAAAATATCCCGACACCACAGAAATACAAAGGATCGTAAAAGGCTACTACAAGCAACTATGCCAAAAAAATGGAAAACCTAGAAGAAATGGACAAATTCATAGATAGGAACAATCTTCCAAGCCTGAACCAGGAAGAAATAGAAAAATATAAAAACAGACCAATCACAAGTACTGAAATTGAAACCATGATTAATAAAATTCCAACAAACAAAAGTCCAGGACCAGATGGCTTCACAGGTGAATACTAACAAACATTTAGAGAAGAGTTAACACCTGTCCTTCTAAAACTATTCCAAAAAATGGCAGAGGAAGGAATACTTCCAAAATCATTCTGTGGGGCCACCATCAATCTGTTATCAAAACCAGACCAAGATACCAAACAAAAGAAGAAAAGAAAACTACAGGGCAATATCACTGATGAACATAGATGCAAAAATGTTTAACAAAATACTAGCAAGCTGAATCCAACAACATATTAAAAGGACCATACACCATGACCAAGTGGGATTTATCCCAGGGATGCAAAGACTTTTCAAAAAATGCAAAACAATCAGTGTGATACACCACATGAAAAAATTAAAGGATAAAAACCATATGATCATCTCAAAAGATGCAGAAAAAGCTTTTGACAAAATTCAACACCCATCTGTGATTAAAAAAAAAAAACCCTCTTCAAAAAGTGGGCACAGAGGGAATATACCTCTACATAACAAAGGCCATAGATGACAAACCCAAAGCTAACATTGTCCTCAACAGTGGAAAGTTGAAAGCATTTCCTCTAAGATCAGAAAGAAGACAAGATATCCACTCTTGCTGCTTTTATTCAACACAGTCCTAGCCACAGAAATCACAAAACAAAAATAAAAGGAATCCAAATTGGAAGGGAAGTAAAACTATCATTGTTTGCAGATGCATGATATTATACTTACAAAATCCTAAAGATGCTACCAGAAAAATACTAGAGTTAATCAATGAATTTGGTAAAGTTGCAGACACAGAAATCTCTTTTCTATACACTATCAACAAAATATCAGAAAGAGAAATTAAGGGAACAGTTTGATTTACCACTGCATCAGAAAGAATAAAACGCCTGTTAATAAACTTACCGAAGGAGGCGAAGGGGCTTCCCTGGTGGCTCAGACAGCAAAGAATCTGCCTGCATGCACGAGACCCGGGTTTGATCCCTGGGTCGGGAAGATCCCCTGGAGAAGGAAATGGCAACCCACTCCAGTATTCTTTTTTGTTTATTCATTTATTTTTATTAGTTGGAGGCTAATTACTTCACAATATTGTAGTGGTTTTTGTCATACATTGACATGAATGAGCCATGGATATACATGTGTTCCCCATCCCGGTCCCCCCTCCCACCTCCCTCCACCCGATCCCTCTGGGTCTTCCCAGTGCACCAGGCCCGAGCACTTGTCTCATGCATCCCACCTGGGCTGGTGATCTGTTTCACCCTAGATAATATACATGTTTTGATGCTGTTCTCTTGAAACATCCCACCCTCACCTTCTCCCACAGAGTCCCAAAGTCTGTTCTATACATCTGTGTCTCTTTTTCTGTTTTGCATATAGGGTTATCGTTACCATCTTTCTAAATTCCATATATATGTGTTAGAATGCTGTAATGTTCTTTATCTTTCTGGCTTACTTCACTCTGTATAATGGGCTCCAGTTTCATCCATCTCATTAGAACTGATTCAAATGAATTCTTTTTAATGGCTGAGTAATAGTCCATGGTGTATATGTACCACAGCTTCCTCATCCATTCGTCTGCTGATGGGCATCTAGGTTGCTTCCATATCCTGGCTATTATAAACAGTGCTGTGATGAACACTGGGGGGCACATGTCTCTTTCAGATCTGGTTTCCTCAGTGTGTATGCCCAGAAATGGGATTGCTGGGTCATATGGCAGTTCTATTTCCAGTTTTTTAAGAAATCTCCACACTGTTCTCCATAGTGGCTGTACTAGTTTGCATTCCCACCAACAGTGTAAGAGGGTTCCCTTTTCTCCACACCCTCTCCAGCATTTATTGCTTGTAGACTTTTGGATAGCAGCCATCCTGACTGGCGTGTAGTGGTACCTCATTGTGGTTTTGATTTGCATTTCTCTGATAATGAGTGATGTTGAGCATCTTTTCATGTGTTTGTTAGCCATCTGTAAGTCTTCCTTGGAGAAATGTCTGTTTAGTTCTTTGGCCCATTTTTTGATTGGACCATTTATTTTTCTGGAGTTGAGCTGGAGGAGTTGCTTGTATATTTTTGAGATTAATCCTTTGTCTGTTGCTTCATTTGCTATTATTTTCTCCCAATCTGAGGGCTGTCTTTTCACCTTGCTTATAGTTTCCTTTGTTGTGCAAAAGCTTTTAAGTTTCATTAGGTCCCATTTGTTTATTTTTGCTTTTATTTCTAAAATTCTGGGATGTGGGTCATAGAGGATCCTGCTGTGATTTATGTCGGAGAGTGTTTTGCCTGTGTTCTCCTCTAGGAGTTTTATAGTTTCTGGTCTTACATTTAGATCTTTAATCCATTTTGAGTTTATTTTTGTGTATGGTGTTAGAAAGTGTTCTAGTTTCATTCTTTTACAGGTGGTTGACCAGTTTTCCCAGCACCACTTGCTAAAGAGGTTGTCTTTTTTCCATTGTATATCCCTGCCTCCTTTGTCAAAGATAAGGTGACCACAGGTTCGTGGATTTATCTCTGGGCTTTCTATTCTGTTCCATTGATCTATATATCTGTCTTTGTGCCAGTACCATACTGTCTTGATGACTGCGGCTTTGTACTATAGTCTGAGGTCAGGCAGGTTGATTCCTCCAGTTCCATTCTTCTTTCTCAAGATTACTTTGGCTATTCGAGGTTTTTTGTATTTCCATACAAATTGTGAAGTTATTTGTTCTAGTTCTGTGAAAAATACCATTGGTAGCTTGATTGGGATTGCATTGAATCTATAGATTGCTTTGGGTAGTATGGCCATTTTGACAATATTGATTCTTCTTGCCTAGAGAATCCCACGGACAGAGGAGCCTGGTGGGCTACAGTCCATGGGATTGCAAGAGTTGAACCTGACTGAACTACTAACTTTTAATTTTATATGCAGAGTACATGAGAAACACTGGACTGGATGAAGCACAAGCTGGAATCAAGATTGCCAGGAGAAATATCAATAACCTCAGATATGCATATGACACCACCCTTATGGCAGAAAGTGAGGAAGAACTAAAGAGCTTCTTGATGAAAGTGAAAGAGGAGAGTGAGCTCAGAAAACTAAGATCATGGTATCCGGTCCCATCACTTCGTGGCAAATAGATGGGGAAACAATGGAAACAGTGACAGACTTTATTTTTTCTGGGCTCCAAAATCACTGCAGATGGTGACTGCAGCCATGAAATTAAAAGACACTTACTCCTTGGAAGCAAAGTTATGACCAACCTAGACAGCATATTAAAAAGCACAGACATTACTTTGCCAACAAAGGTCCGTCTAGTCAAGGCTATGGTTTTTCCAGTGGTCATGTATGGATGTGAGAGTTGGACTATAAAGAAAGCTGAGCACTGAAGAATTGATGCTTTTGAACTGTGGTGTTGGAGAAGACTCCTGAGAGTCCCTTAGACTGAAAGGACATCCAACCAGTCCATTCTAAAGATCAGTCCTGGGTGTTCATTGGAAGGACTAATGTTAAAGGTGAAATTCCAATATTTTGGCCACCTGCTGCGAAGAGCTGACTCATTTGAAAAGACCCTGATGCTGGAAAAGACTGAAGGCGGGAGGAGAAAGGAATGACAGAGGATGAGATGATTGGATGGCATCACTGACTCAATGGACATGAGTTTGAGTAAACTCCAGGAATTGGTGGTGGATAGGGAAGCCTGGCGTGCTGCAGTCCATGGGGTTGCAAAGAGTCAGACATGACTGAGCAACTGAACTGAACTGAACTGAGCAACTAACACATACAGACATACACACAAGGAGGCAGAGACCTGTGCTCTGAAAACTATAGGATCCTGATGAAAGAAACTGAAGACGACACAAACAGATGGAAAGATATACCCCGTTCTTGAATCAGAAGAATCAATACTGTCAAAATGACTATACTACCTAAGGCAATCTACAGATTCAATGCAATACCTGTTAAATTACCAATGGCATTTTCCACAGAACCAGAACAAGGATTTCTAAAAATTTTCATGGAAACATAAAAGACTCAAAATAACCAAAGCAATCCTATGAAAGCAAAATGGGGCTGGAGGAACCAGGAGCCTTGATTTCAGACTACACTACAAAGCTATACTAATCAAAATAGTATGGTAGTGGCACCCACAGAAAAAGAAGTATAAATCAATAAATCAAACAGGACGGAAAACCCAGAAATGAACCTATGCACCTATGGTCAATTAATCTAAGTCAAAGGAGGCAAGGATATATAAGGGAGAAAAGACAGTCTCCTCAATAAGTGGTGCTAGGAAAACTAGACAGCTGTATGTAGAAGAATGAAATCTGAACATTCTCTAACACAATACACAAACTCAAAATGCACTAGCCATCTACATGGAAGACCAGCTGCTATAGAATTTTAAGAGGAAAACATAGAATGCCCTTTGATGTAAATACAGCAGTATCTTTTTGGATCCACCTCCTAGAGTCATGGAAATAAAAACAAAAATAGACAAATGGGACCTAATTAAACACAAAAGCTTTTGCACAGCAAAGGAAACCATAAACAAAATGAAAAAAAAAAAAAGACTCAAATAATAGAAGAAAATATTTGCCAGCGAGGTGACCAACATGGGATTAATCTTCAAAACATACAAACAGCTCATGCATCTCAGTATCAAAAAAACAAAGAACTCAATCAAAAATGGGCAAAGACATTTCTCCAAAGAGGACATACAGATAGCCAAGAGGCACACGAGAATATGCTCAACATCGCTAATTACTAGA